CATGCGTGAGTGCTTTTGTGGTTAGGTATATGTGTTGGTTTCTCCACTCTTCAGAGACATTTGTTTGGGCTTTTCTTATCTGGAATAAAAACCATTTCAGTTCAACACTTACTGGTTGTATATCTCCCAGGAGGCAATTACAGTCCATTCTATTTCACAATTACTGTGATCATCCATGTAGGAGGACACAGCTCTAGGAACAGCTGGGACGAATAAATCAAAGCTGTGAGAGCTGAGCAGGTGGAATTGTACATTTTCACTGTATCATCTGCTGTAGATTGTAGTTTTGCTGCATGGTGTGTTGCACAGGTGTAGCCATCACTCAAAGCCAAGAAGGTGTGAAATATGCAAGTCGGGCAATTTCTCCGCTGTTATTGGAGTGAAGTTGTGTCCCAACTTTTTACTGTTTTAGTTTGTGTGTGTGTTGATTTCATTTAATATAAAAACCCCAGATTCAATTGGTTAAAGATGAACAGTAAGTTGCGTTTTTACAGTTTTCTTTCTGAAATTTATTTTTTATATATGCTTGTTCATAGTTTTTGGTTTGTTATCCACACTCCTGTACTGATATATGTATATAAGTGCAAATGTGTGAGTATTTTTATCCTGAGGTGCCTGCAACAAACCCATTTGAGTGGCGTAAACTAATTCCATGCCACTCCAAGGATGGAAAGTTACACTTGAAAAATTTAGTGACTGCATGTCTTTTCCAAAACAAGGTCGTGTTGGCTTTGAATAATCCAGACCCCACTCTCAATAGCTTTAATTTTAACCACTTCATTTTCTCTCTTCTTCTATTCCATAGCTTCTGAATCCTAGCCCTTCGTTTTCAAATAAAGGATAAACATCTGCACAACATTACACAAAATACTACACTATCATATGTATTATCTGCACAGCTGGTCCTTTGAATTGAAGGAAAGAAGCTATTTGCACTTTTCGATAGCTACTGGAAATTGGGAAAGTGTGTAAATGTATCCAGGAGGCACAGATGTCAGGCAAATGTATTTGTTTAGCTGACTCAAGGAAGTGAATCATCAGAAAGTCAAGTTCACTACTCCATGAATTTGATACATGCATGTATGAAAATGTAGCCATATGACATTATATTTTGTGGTCTCTCATTTTCAGACCTCGTATTTGGCATTTTTGAAAACAGACATTATCACAGAGGGGGGAAACAGAGAGTATGATTCTGGTAGGATAGCCATAAAGTATGCCATAAGTCATAACCTTAACAGGAATCTGTTTACTGAGGTCATAAATCAAGTCAATTTCTAATAGACTTCTGTAAAATCAGGCTTGTTTTTTCGCATCATTTTTGCAAAAAGTAATGCATTATGTTACTTGTTTATTCCCAGGAGAAAGTAATTTGTTACACTACTTGTTATATTACTTTTGCCTTGCTCTACAACATCGGCCTGGGGTGCAATGTCACATAACTACCAATTAAAACCTAAACCTTAGGCTGTAGTCTTGCACACCAACATAAATCTCTATCCAAATGAGGAGACAAAGTATTTTTTTTACTGTTCCATAGTGGGAAACCAGGGCAAAGAGTGCTTCATTGATTAGACTTTAAGGTAGAATGAAAATGAAAATAATATTCATAAGTGTGCATGGTAAAAAAATACAAGTTAGATTTTTTCATGTATCCAACCATCATGCAGATAACTGCCAAACTTTTGAAATGCAAGTAATAATAGATTAAAAAAAACAAACTATCTGTAAAGTGATTATTGAATTTAGTAATGTTTTATAGCATTGCATTACAAAAAAAATGCAATGTGATATCAGCTGTGGTAGAAAGTAATATTACAAATTCCAAGTTTAAGGCATTTCCAAATCAACTTCATTTCTTAGACTAGGAGGACCAGGAGGTCTTTTTTTTTTTTAAAGCAACCATAACAAGTAGGTTGGAAAATCTTAACAGACAAATCTGATTACTTGCAAATAACAAACAGACAATCTCTCCTAATGATTGCATTTTACTCCATCAATGCTGAGTAAGGCCTTTAGTGGAAGAAGTTAGCTTTCCTAGTCCACTGCTTTTGTCAGCTACAAAAAAGTACTGTGCATAAAACAATTGATTTAATAAACACATGACCATTTACGATGGGATGATATCAACCACAATGCTATGAACATACCCATCCTGTGGCTGATTTTATACAGTCATAATTGTATCAAGACAACGTCTTGTACCACAAGGCCTTCAAGAGTATAGAGAAAATATTACAGTAATTATACAAGTAATAGCTTTTTTGAAAATCATCCTTTTTTTTTACTCTGTGTTTACTTTGTAGTTGAAACACAAATATCCACAAGTTACAAAACAACCAGAGATATTAGACTCTTTTCACCTTTCCCAGTGGGATACTCTTGAGTGCTGAGGTCATTTGTAAGGTTTCAATTTGGTATCAAGCTGGTCTGAAAGTGGCTGAATGTGGTTATTGAAGCCATTTAGCCACTTGTTCACTGTTATGTTGAGGAGATGAATGTTTCCAAATGTCAGGAAACTTTAGTCAGTACTAGAGCTTTATCCTAGCAGTAATTCTTAGGGGACAGCCTCCATTTCCTGCCTAAATGTTCAAACGCTATGGGATGCATGTGACCTTGAAGGTTCTAATTTCCAGTGATCCATTAGTTTTTAACTGCTTGATGCTCTACTCTCATATGAATGAGCCACAGAGTAATTGTGGACTTGAAGTAGTTATAGAAGCAGTCCCACTTATCATCTGAACAAGAGGGCCAAACCAAGGGGATCAAATATTTATATTAAGACGTATTACTGAACTAGTATTTCACACACTTCCATTATCCACTTCACTTTATTAGTATGAATACCCACTGATCCAGACAGCTTGCTACTGTGGACAATGAGTTACCAATAAATAAAACATAAAGGTAAAGAATGCAGACAGGGTGGCACACATCAGTTATTGTCTGATTGAACTCTGAAAGCTCTGAAAGCAGGATAAGATTACAATTAAGGTAGTGTCTAGATATTAGAGTGAAATAATCAAATCAGTCACTTTTTGAGGAGAAAGGTTGGAGTTGGCTTATAAAGGTACAAGGTGAGCAAACAAACCTGTGGGACAGTATTTAAAAGACAATTCACACAGATCACTGTGCATGCAAATGTTATTACTGTCAGTTGTGTTGCAATTGTAGGTTCGTTTTAGAGACATGGTTATGTCTATAGTATGACATTTTTAGGTGCGGCCTTGTGTAGTGTGGCTCCCATTGATTCTGATTACATGTTGTTCGTGCGAACTTTTAATATAAAAAGAAACGTTAAAATGGAAAAGGTTGATTTGAGATGCCACAGTGGGATGAGTCAGCACTTACAGTGACAGAATGGAGGGCAGAAAACACAGGTTGCTGGACCTCATGCATGCCTGTCTACCCCCATCATGCTCATGTGAACAGCAGGCGCTTTACAGGATGTGTCATGTCATTATTCACCACCAGGGGCCAATGAATGGAGAGCGGCAGAATGCTTTCTAAACAGTGTTTTCCCTTGTGCGAGGGAAAGACCAGAAGTGTGTGTGCGTGTGTGTGTGTTAACGTCTTTGTGCATTAGCCCGTGTTCGGGAGAGAGAGAGAGTGAAGGTAAGCAAATGAGCAAGAGAGAACGTCTGTGTAAGCGAGTACTCAACATGCCTCCGAGGTATTTTTAGAATGTTTTTTTGTTTTGTTTTTTTGCTCTTTTCCCCCAACATCCTCTGCAGAGTTAGTTCTCCAGTCAGACAATATAATGGTCTGTCATGCATTTCTCAATCATGCACGTTGCTATGGCCAGAGCGTTAACATTTATAAGACTCGGACTCCTAAGCAATGAGTCATTTTCAGTTGTCATGCTTGAAATCTAATTTTCATATTTATCAAGCATACACACATGCTGTGTTTTAAAAACTTATCCAGCAGTATCTGAAACAAGGACACTCCATGCCTGTTTAGGAAACTTTTAACCAATTACCTTACAATCTGGCACGCTGGGTTTGGAGGGAAAGGGCATATTTGTCTTGGAGGTTTGATGTGCTGCACTCATAGTAAAGTGGGGATTTTTGTTTTGTCTATGTCAGATTATATTCTTTCATCAAAGACAAAGTCACTTAAAAACATTAATATTCAGTTGAATTAGATGAGAGACTACAGGCCATGCTGGGAGCTCGGTAATAAATTAAATACAATTTTAACTTTCTGTAAAAGGTCTGAAGCGATAATGTCAGTGCAGTTAATATGAACTCTTTGGAAGAGGAGGCCCTAACGTGACATTTGTCTACCATCATTTTTCAGACAGATTTTGTGCAACTGCTAAAGGGAGACAGGGATAATTCATGGTCAATTCTGATTGGCTAATTTTCCTTCTAAAACATGTTTTCTTTTAGTCATGTCGAAAGTTGTGAGGTTAGTGTGTTGGTGAATTTTTAATGACAGATTTTCAGGAACGTTAACAATAAAAATAATAATGATTGTTATGAAATCAAGTAATTTTCACACTGATTCCTATTGGTGAATTTATACCAAAATATTGTGTTTTACAGTAGAAACACAGGCAAAATATAACAGTACAGACCTCTCAAAATAACTTTATTATTCAAAGCCAGTAATTGCACCTTTACATCAACATTTTTAGTTTTATTCCAATTTATATTTACATTTTCACAAAAGGTTTTGTCCATACCTTGATATACTAAAAACAACAGTTTATTCCTAAAAGCAAAAAAGGTGATTGTTTATGTTGTCAAATAAACAACCAAAATCCGTCTGAAAAACTTCTTTTTAAATGGTTTATGAATTTGTGACCTTTTTTATTCAGTTTCTATTTGGGAGTTTAGATTTACATAGTAATTACCTATTTACCTACTTCATTTCTGCATGAAATGTAAGAATATACCTACAATCTTGTAATGTGAAAATAATTTTCTCTGCATCTTCCTTGAGTGCAAAACTTATTTTGTACTCTCTTCTCACTTTCCCTTCTCCCTTCCTAGATCCCTGTAATGACAGGAGCCTTCATGGACTCCTCGCCCAATGATGACTACAGCGGCGAGCACTCGCTCTTTAACTCCTCGGCCAGCGTCCATGCCGCTGCCTCAGCCGCCTCGGTACAAGGCCAGCAGGATGAGCCGCAGTCCATGTCCAGTGATGCCATCTGGCTCTGGATTGCCATCATCGCCACTATTGGAAACATTGTGGTGGTGGGCGTTGTCTATGCCTGCACTTTCTGATGAACACATGCTGACAAAGACAACCCGCACACTCACACATCCTGCTTTTTCTCAGTCTCCGGAACCCCGAAGGAAGCTTTGTAGACAATCTCTCGCTCTCTGTGTCTCTCGCTGTCTTTCTTTTTATCCCTCACACTTTTTGGCAGGGAAGGGGAGGGACGGACCTGAGGGTGTAAAAGTAGCGATACTTGACAGTGACATATACACTGCTATACTTCTTCGTTGAGGGGAAAGACTGAAATTTGGCAGCATTTATCAACAACAAGCACTTTTGAATGCTACAGCTTGAGAACTTGAGAATAAGGTTATGTGCACAGCAACTCTTTAGTTAAAAACAGAAAGAAATCTTTGCTCTCAACCATTAATCAAAAGGATTTTTTTTAAGCTTAAGTTTGTTTTTGTGTTTCTCCTCATACGACACTCACTTATTATGTAGGAGGGAGGATGGAGATTAAATGGGGCTTAAGATTCAGGTTGAACTGGGCCATCTGAAACAACCACCAGATAGTTGCTAAGCAATTTACGACATAGCAGCTTAATTATGCCACTGAACAGAGACGGTGCTTGTTAAAATATTTAGAAAGTGTTAAAATATCTGCAAGATAAGCAGCACTGAGATTCTCCTATATGCTGATGAAACGGAACATATGGTTATAATGATCATTAGTGTATTTGGTGTCTTTCTAAGGTGAAAGAGAACAGGAAACTGCGTTCATTAAAGACACTTAAATTGACTGTTACAGCAGTGGCATGTCAATTACACAAAAGTAATTTTTCTAGACATTACCCCATGGAAGTGCAAGTGCAGATGTCCAGCAGAGTCAGATCAAAACCAGCCAGTTCCCCAGTACACTCTCACAAGAGCTTGATGTATAGCACCTCTGAGAATAGAGGAGCTAACTGACCTGTGAATTCACAGCGAGTGAGTGGGCATGATTTGTCTGCTTTTTGCATGCTCTATCCTGATAACTCTCCTTACCCAAAATAAACCGGGTATTTCCATTTGTGAGAATGCATCTGAACCTGACCATCTCATATTATGCTTTATGTGTGAGAAAGGCATCTGGTTAGTGCGCTGACCAGATTCTAATAATAGTGAGTTAGGAGTAATGACTTGTTGTCGTCATGCCCTTAATGTCAAATTCCTTCAGTAAAAGTGGCTATTAGAAAATCTAATCATATTGTCAAAGTCTGCTTAGATAGGACTAGATAGATGTGAACAAAATGTAATTAGAAGCACAAATCAAATTAAACATACACAGCTTTTTTTCCCCTGCTCAACTTTTTCCGTAGTTGCTTTTTCACCTATAAGTTATGTATTTCATCACCCAGCAGCAGAAGGTGGAAGTTTCTGATATTACAGTTGTACTGTAAAAACAGTAAATGTATGTATCCCGAAATGATGTAACACTAAGCAGAACTGTGGTAAACCTTGTTATAAATATGTCCAGCTATGTATGAAATCTCATATATAGTTTATAATTTTCACTACTGGAGGTCATTTGTTCTGTGTTAGTGTGGATGGTAGTGCCAGCTTTTCAGTGGCAAGTAGTTCTTGTCCTAAAGGGGTTACAGTAACTTTACCTTAAGACCCAAAGATACAAATTGGTTTTCACATGAAACATACCATACGATGCACTGCACTTACACTGAAAATGTAGCTAGTAGGCTTTGATCTGCTAATTGATGTTTGTGCTTTGGTTAAATGTCCCTTATAAGCTGCAATGGAAAATTATACAAATATGGGCCTACTGAAGTCGGCAAGTTGTTTTATCTGTCAACTGTTCTATTTTTTTAGTATGATAAACTGACTGTTTTCCATAAGCCTTGATTATACTCCTTTGTGGATATAAACACAGACAGCTGGAGACAGTACAGCCGAATAGTCATTCTTGTTATACTTATCTGAAGTTTGCCGCCTGGGGCGCGTGCGTACTTGGTGTATTGTAATGTAAAGTCTCCAAATTAGTCTGTGTGGGTCACAAAACATGGCAGGCATGTGGATAGCCACATGAATCCTCAACCTCACTGTCTGCTGAAAAATTTGACATAATTTGGACCCAAGTGGACCCACATCGAAAGTATAATCAAGGCCTTAGAGGGTTGATAGCTCTTTGCTCATACAAGTAAGTCATGTTTTCCTGGGATGTAGACATTACTAGTATATAATCCAGTCTTGTAAACACCATAACTGTTCAAATGTTCATACACTAGAAAGAAAAAACTGGCTTACTGTATGTATTGTACTATGTAAAGTAAAATTTAGACACTCAATTACTATAAGAGGACTTTTCAAGGCTGTTATTTTTAATAAAGTGTTGATGTAGAAATATTTAGAAATGTTGTAAACCACATACACAATGCTCCTTTTGTAAAGACATATGCTACTATTAAAATTTATGTACTAATTACAAAATTGGCTTTCTGTATTGACTTAAGAAGCACACACTTACATTTACTGAAATGTCACAAAGATGGATTAAAATGCAAAATATGTGGCTTTGTACGCCGATTGCAGAAACAAGAATTTGTTTCAGTTTCATCTTTTGTTCTCAGTGAAGCCAGTTCTCTGGCAGACATCAGTGCTGTTTGCTGCTTAGCCATCAGGTGAGATTGATTCTAAGCTCAAATCACGCCATCTGTCATTTTGACACAAGCACCACTTGTTTAAAAATTACCTGGATTTTGTTCTCTGCAGCACTTAGCTACTCTGACTCTCTGATCTCATATTTGTTTTGCTGAACAAACAGGAAGGCTGCAAAAAGCAAGCACTTTAAAAAACATGAATGGGTGAAGAAAGTGCATCTGTATCCTGCTAAATAAGTAACAGAGATATCGTTGTATTTTCAGCAAATCAATGCAACAACAGATAGATAAGAAACCTTTGACCTAGATGTATTTTGAGATGTATAGACATGGTTGCTATCATGAATAGACATCAAACAAATAGACAAAACTAAAACAATGTGATTTTTTTTTTATAGAGAAGAGTCACTTTAGCTCGATTAATAGTTAAGTGACTTAACTAATGTGCAGTCGTGTGGAAAAAGTACCTTTTTATTTTAAAGGTTTTATGTATCAGGAATAATATAAAAACATCTGGTCATCTCACCCTTTTGAAATTAGTACAATTTAACCTCAGATGAGTGAAACATTAACAAACTAAGCCTAAATGCAGAAAAGTAAGCACATCCCATGACCCAGCTTGTAGAATCACCTTTAGCAGCAATAACTTGAAGTAATTGTTTTCTGATTTTATCAGTGTCTCTATTTGATGTGGAGGAATTGCGGCCCACTCTTCTTTGTAACGTTGCTTCACTTCAGTCAGATTAACGGCTGGACGTTGACTGGACCATTCCAACGCTTTGATTCTTTTCTTTCTCAGCCATTCTGTTGTAGATCTGCTCCTTTGCTTTTTACCAAAGTCCTGTAGCATGATGGCTGATGGATTTAGCTGATACGTATCCTCGTCTCATAAGGAAGCAGTAAGGTTGTACTTTTTTTCTGCACGTTGGTTCAGTTTTTGTTAAATAACATTGTGTAATAAGTTGTTTATCTGAGGTTGTATTTTCCTTATTTTAAAGTAGAAGTAAGAACTTCTACAATTATGTTTGATATATAAAACTTTAGAACCAAAAGGTGTTTTTTAGAACATTTTTTAATCCTAGAATAATTTATTTGCAGAGGTTTGAGATTAAAACAAACAAACAGCCATCCTGATGTCAAAAGCACTGAGGGATCACATTCATAATTTCATGTAAATGCAGTGATCTTTACCTCATCCTAAGAACTGAGTAAGTCCTTTCCCAGTTGAAATGCCAGCCAGACTTGGTAATATGTGGATCAGCTCCTTTCAGATTTGCCTTGAGCATTTTTGATCCCCCACAAACAGATGAGATACAGATGGAAGCAAAACTGAATGCACATGATCTTCGAACAACCTTCACATTGCTTCCGCAGCGTTGCGCCTTCTATCCTCCAAATCCGATCAAACGACTCAGTTGGGGGAAAAAAATCCCTAGGGTCTCACAACAGCCGCTGACTCCTAGAGGGAAGTAAGGCCAGTTTTATTTATAAAGCCCCAAATCACAAATCACAAACTTGCCTCAGAAGGCTTTTCACAGCAGCCGGCGTCCTCTATTCTTAACTCCATCAAAGAAAATAAATAACTATTGACCTTGCCTGGGATAATTTATGCTAATGTGGGGTAATCATTACACTTTTAGGTGATGGCTTTGTGAAATGCACATTAGTTGAGACTTCAGCTCTCATACGGAGAAAGTGAAATGACACTGACTTTGCCTGTGAATAATAAATGTTTATTTCAACCTAGCTGAAAAAAAAAATGTTGTGAAGTAGTATGTGGGGAGAGGCTGTCTCACTCCTCCACTGTTGGCCCAGAGTCTCACAGGATGTAACGCTTCAGCTTGAATCGCATCCAGTTGAGAGTGAAAGGTTGGTGACGAGTTGCTGGATATGCTAATGTATGCCAAGCTGCTTAGACACATCTTATCAAACTGTCACTTTAGAGACACATGGGGACACACAGTACACTGTAATAGTAATTAAATACCAAATATAAACAAAGACAATGTCTGCAGCTTTCTGCCACTATAGTACTATTTTTCTTCTTAAAGAAAAGTTACTGGGCATTTCCATAAATCACATTTAATGCATAGTTAGAGAAATGTAAAAACATCTGCAAATTTGGAAATTTTCCTTCATTTAAAATGATACATTGTATCAGAACATTTTACCTTTCTCAACAAAGAGGAAACGTTATCATCTGTGGTCTTATAAAAACCTCATAACAGCAAATTGTTATGTGTGAGAAAGCATTGCAACTCCAAGAGCAGAGGCAAGGCAAGATACCTGGCAGAGCTTGCTAGTGTTTGTATGTATGTGGGCGTTTGAAGGAGATCAGGTTTGTTACAGGCAATCAAATACATCTGTGTTTTAAGAAGATGCACAATTGCATAACAGTTATAAGGATCCTATGTAACCAGATTAAGGTCTGACCATATTCATATTCATCTAGGTGAGATTGTGCCAGAACTACTAAATAATTATAGTCTACAGGGTGGGCCATTTATATGGATACACCGTAATAACATGGGAAAGTTACGTTGAAACCAAGCACACCATTGTTTTTCTTGTGACATTACCAATAAGTTTGATGTGTCACATGGCCCTCTTCCTATTGAAAAAACAAAAGTTGTATCCAAGA